AAGTAATTCTAATATTAATAGTAATAGTAATAATAGTTATAATAATAGTAATCATAGTAATAATGGTAATAGTAATAATAATAATAATAATAATAATAATAATAATAATAATAATAATAATAATAATAATAATAATAATAATAATAATAATAATAATAATAATATTAATATTAATATTAATATTAATATTAATATTAATATTAATATTAATATTAATAATATTAATAATATTAATAATAATAATAATAATAATAATAATAATAATAATAATAATAATAATAATAATAACAATAATAACAATAATAATAATAAAAAATAATAATAATAATAATAATAATAATAATAACAATAATAATAATAACAACAATAATAATAATAACAACAATAATAATAATAATAACAATAATAATAATAACAATAATAATAACAACAATAATAATAATAATAACAACAACAACAATAATAATAATAATAATCATGATAATAAAGATGATAATAATGACAACCGCAGTGTGATGTAGAGCCCAGCTTCCCGGCACCCAACTGGCAACTGGCACCTCCCTCCCTGGTCATAAATAAAATAAATGCTGTCCAGTATAGCCATTTAAAGCAACAGTGTTAGTTGAAGTCAAAATGTTTAGCTAGCTGATAGATAATACACTTTAAGAAGATTTTGAACAGTTTACTGGACAAATCACTTTGTTTTTTAATCTTTTATTCATCAATTTTATTCATTTAATCTCTTTTTTAATCTTTTATCTCAATTTTACGAGACTGGTGCCAAACTGGACAACATCCTCCATTTTGAAGTGCCGCCAACAGTCTCCCTTCTGCGCGGGAGCCGCAATCGGGCACACTTTACTGACAAGCGGCTGGGGGAAAGGTGAGCCCAGCCACGCCCTCCCACGAGGGAGACTGCTGGCACCGCTTCTTGTCGTGAAATGTACATCTCATGGCGTAGGCCAACACAGTTCAGTAGGTTGTCCCAGAGGTAAGCTAGCACACTTTTAAGGTTATTTTGCCTGAATATTGGGAGTTGTATCTAACCCTAAAGATCGAGCAGTAGCTTAACCTTCTTTCAACCTGTACATTGTTCCTTAAACTGGAAAAAAACATTTAAGACATTGTTCCTCTGAGTTTAGTATTATCGTATGACTGATTGCATTGAATTGAGGTCATTTGAGGTCTCCACTGTTACCTATCAAACCATCAGTCATTGAGAAGTTCTCTTTCTACTGAAACCATGAAAAAAAACTATTTACAACTTAAATGTACCTCAGTATCATGGCAAACTTGTTCATAATCAGTTATACATAGATATCTCTATTCAACACTTGCACTTGTAGCACAAATCTCACAAAAGTTTAGTAAAATGTGGCAGTTTACAGCTGTGCCCTCTGGTAAAGAGAGGGAAACTAATCCAAATCTTTCACGTCATTAACAAGAGATAGGCAACATTAGGGTGCAACCTCTCTATTGCAATGAGATACAGATCAACTTGAAAACTGAAAATCAATAAGAATAAGGGCAAGATACCATAGTTGTCAGTTACTTTATAATCAAGTGTAAAAAAAAGCAAAGCACAAAGAAATTTTGCAATAAAGCAAAATGTTCACAGGAAATGGAATATGTGTTGCATTTAATCTAAAAGAAAGTAATATACAACACAAGTAATAATAAGAACTTCTTGAGGATAGGTGTACTTGCAATGCTAATATTGATAATGTTGCAAACCCAAAATACATACATCAACTACACTGTTGTTGCAAACTAGATGATACACCAAACAAATAGCCAAACTGATTTGTTTCTTACATTGGACTTGACAGAAAAAAAAAATCTGTATACAATCTGACGCCCTTGTTAGTTGCATGAGATGTTGCTGGATTAAATAAGTTAATAAATAGTTAAATATATAAATAGAGGAGTCTTGATTAATTTCCCCACAACTTCAAGGTGCTTTTAGTGTGTCTAACAGGGTTTACAGATAGATCAGTTATTCTGAGCCATAAAAAAATCTTGAACGCAGTCATGTCGGACCGTAACATTTTCTTGATGATATGAATAGGTTCAGATGATAAATTTCTAAGAATACAAACTTTCTTTTTTCATATACTTTTAAAGTCATTCCTTAGGATTCATTCTTCTTCCACCAAATCTAAAAGTTAAATTTGACAATCACATTATTAGCTTATGTCTAGGCAATTATTTAGACAGACATTCGCCCTTTTCAACTTCATTCTGGAGAATTCATAATTTCTAATATCATTTACTCAGTCAACATCATTCTGTATTTCCTCTCTTTTAAATTGTTTATGATTTTAAGACTGTAAATGGATTACCACAGTCTTCCCTTGGGTTTAGACACCAAAAGACACACTAGTCTGACTTCACAAGAGAACCTAAAATTAAGTAATTATAAAACCAGCTAAAAATTATAAGTCATGGAAATTCTTACGATACAGAAAGTAACATACAAGTAGGAACTGCTTGTTTGGTTGCCTTTGCCTTCTACAGTTAGTCTTCTACATCTTTTTTAAGCAGAAAATATCAAGTCTAGAATCAGAAAATGTCTAATGTCTAGATCTACATTTTCCTTATATCACCTCAGCACTTCCAGGATTTTTGCTAATCCGTATCATATCAAGAATAAAATGTGAATTTAATCAGCCTTGTATAAAGCTCTTATCCTACCTTCATTGATGAGGTTAATTTCTTATAGAACCAAGAAACCTTTTTTTTCTCTCTTTTTTTATGTGTATAAACCCTAATATACCTGCCAGGTATGCATTAATTCTCCTTCATCATGAGGTGTATTACTTAAGCTCCAAATACCAAGGCAAAAAGTGCTGAGAGAAGACTTGAGACATTCCTTGTGCCGGCAACACATTCGGCTACAGCATTTATCAAATACGGAATCAAGGGAAGGGATAAAGTAACGGCAGCGTGTGATGTATAATTCCACATACGGAAAACTCAACAAACACAACAGCTCCATGGCCTAACTCTTGCATAAGTTGAGGACTTGATATACATTCCTGAGTCTCATGGGGGTAATAACGAGGACAATCGTTACATTTTGATAGTTCATTATAACTACAACAAATGGAGTTTTTTTTTTTCCACATCCTTTAGCAACAGCTATATGTAACTGTAATAATCAGAGCCTTTGCTTCTTTGTTCATTATAATGTCAAATACTACTTATTGAGTATCAAATACAGCTTTAGTCCTCCCCATATGCTGATTACATAATTCTGTCAATTACTGTATGTTATTTGACAAAGATGAACACAACATCTTGCCCAAATTTACTTCAGGTGAAAGAAAAGGAAACAACTACATTTACTACTATGAATGAGGACATATATGCAGTTAATCCCCTCACTGTGGCTGGCCTGTGCCTGGACTTGAAATGTGTGCCTCTATCGGTTTCCATAGCTGGCTGTTAATTTAGAAAGGCCACTTAGTTTTTAGGATTAATGCAAAACTGAATTTGCTTTTTTCTGCTTTACAATTCTCGGAGCTTACATTCAACAGGCAATTATCGGTATACTAAGCACCACAATAACAGGATTATCTGGATAACCCTATTCAAAATACTTTAATTTGATGAGAGTAAGTATTCTGATATCAATTTATGAAAGCTACTTTTCTTTTCCCACTAACTCAGCAAGAGACAACTGGACCAAACTAGAACGAGTCCATTTCCTCTAAATTCAAATTCCCTACAAAAGGTTGACACAAAAAAATTATTTCATATTGTTCTAATAAAATTCATTTGTCTTTTAAATGTTCTGCAGCGTCAAGTATCAAAATACCTTGTGCAAAGTGCATCACATTATGTCATTTTCTAACAAGTCACTATGCCTGGCTATGATAAGAGGTAGTTTGATAGAACTTGGTGAAATCAAAACTTTTACATTCTACTGCTTTCAGTTCAGTTCACAGGAATCCCACACATACACTTCCAATGATGGAATTTGGAATGAACACAGAAATATGGGTTTGCACACATATTCAGGCTTGCGCAAAGACCATGCACTCACATCAAGGTATGGATTGCAATGCACCTATTTTTGAAATACACAAGCAAAAACATATACACATACATACATACATACATACATACATACATACATACATACACACACACACATGCACGCATGCACACACATACACACATACACACAGACACATACACACAAACTTGAATAATGTCCTTACAATCTTAAATAATGCGCATATACTAATAGCAATTCTCTTCTCATGCACAAACAAAAATCATGCACACACTCACATGCAATTTTGGCAGAATCATTGTACTGCCTTGGAATCAAAATGGCATAAGGGTTCTGAACCATTTTCTTTTCCCCGTTGATGCAAGATATTTGGGAAAGCACAGGATGTAGGAATTTCTATAAGAAGTTACTGATAATTCTACACGCAGCCAAGGGATTTTTCCGCTGCTCTGAGTCTTCTGAGATCCTCGAAAAATTACAGTTTAATGAGTTTCCGCACCGCAAGACCCGGGAATCGGGAGACGTGCCCAAATCTCGCTACCGATCAAGGCACAGGCAGGATTTTTTGTGATAAGACTGATACCTAAGAAGGCAGAAGGATTGGCATTGAACTATGTTATTCTCGCTAGCAAACTCTCAACCCATTTTGCACTAGAGCGTGTGATTGTCACGCTTGTCGTTCCAGTCGGCAAAATCAGATCTCTCCACTGGTAAACTTGACACATCCAGGTTTTTTTGTTTTTTTTTTGCTTTGCAATGGTTCACAACACTTGGTTTACACTGAAGCTCTGTCTATGGACTTCTTGTACCTAAGTTGCTCCACAGGTTGTATAGTATGTACTAGACTTGGTTGAAAAAAGGAAAACAAAATGGAATAAAATTCTGTTACAGTGTTCCTATAACAATAAAGTCCATTCTTTGAAGAAGAAAAAAAAGAACAATGAAGTAAAATAGGTTTGAAAGCCAATACAAAATCCAATTTCTCTTAAACAAAAAATTTAATGAATAAAAATAGTAAATACAAAAAAAAAGAGCTATGAAATTCCTTAATCATATTTAAAGGAAACAGTAGACCAATGACAAAACATCTGGCACATACTATACGCCATTGGTATATCTGCTCACATTCACTTCGGTGAAACTCTATTGGACTGAGACGATGAAATTAAATAGTCATATAACACTACAAGTTCCTTAAAAAATGAGGCTGGGATTTCACACATTCTGGACACAGCCTAAGACCTTTATAAAAGCAATTTAGTTGGCATGTTTCTTCCTTTTTCTTGTATACAAAAAATGCACTTAAATATCACAGTATCATTATCAAGAGTGCTTTCTTCAAAGGGCTTGGGGGTGGGAACTGAATAAATCTTACCAAATATTCACAGCCTTAAGCTGAAACATCAAAATACATTTTGAACGGCTTTTATCCACACAGTCGCAGAGCAGTGAAGGCAGTGAAGCGCAAAGTTTTATTCAGTCTCCACACACACACACCTGTATTTGGAGACCAACCTTAACCTGAATCTTAACTTGGGTGCACCACTAATGTTCTTTGTCACTTAAAAGAAAGGGGAAAAAAATATTCTAAAACAACATCACATTACCAAAAGTTTAAATTTACAAAGACACCGTAAAATGTTACATAGTAGTCCCACTTTTCATGAGAGAGAATGTATTTACACTCAACCACAGGTGAATGATTATTAATTTGCTTCGGTTTCCTGAAGGTAATGTAACATGTGGCTTTTCCGCTGGTGAATGTCTGAAAAATAAAAAATCTATGTCAGTACTTTCAAACACATGCAGGGCAGTAAATAACATTGCACAAATGCATTGCAGATTTTCACCCTAATGCACTTGAATTTATTGATATATCAACCAAATCTATCAAGACATGAAAGTCAATATCGTAAATAATCAATATATGGAGTTGAAATACACATTTCTAATAACAAATTTTTTTTTACTAATATAGAACAATCAGATATCTTTACATTTTGTTCAATTTATGTATCTGTTATTACCATGATTTAGAAATAATTCATATACCTGAAGTTCACATAAAATACATAATAAAAAAAAAATTATCACTGATATTGAACACTTTGTAAAATTGTCCAGCTCAGAGTTATTATCAATGTTCTATTCTAAGATTACAAGATATGAAAATAAAATACAAAATTATAAAACTGAATATATCTATAGAAAAAAAAAAGAAGTCAAAATTATTTTTTTCAGGCATAATCATGTTATCTCCACTCACTTTAGCAAATATAAAAACTAAAAAAACAGATCTTGTATTCAACAACATGATACTGCATAATATTTCAATGAAATATCATCAATAAGCAATGCCAGCTGAATTCAGCAATAACACCTTAAACAGCAAGACAAAAAAACCTAGCCAAGTTATTAAGAATTAAGAATCACTGCAGAATAAACCCTTTCCTTCGTCACTCACCTCTGCGAATGGTCTGGTGTAATTAGAAATGCCTCCCTGCAGCTTAGTTACTGCAGTGCTCGGAGTGCTCCTCCCATGCAGCAACCTGCAAAGGTGGAAATGAGCAATTGTACTAAACTGAAGGTAATTAATCCTGGCAGCAATACCTCCGACAGAAATGAAAAAAGCTGAAATGAAGACTTTACTAAAAACAATGTAGTAATGAAAAGTTACAATTTTAAAACTAGTTATCAAAAGTTATGGTAAAGGATCTGAATCACAAATCACAGATGCATTAAAATATAAAGATTAACCCCTTGGTGCCTGGTGACGCCGATAGGCGTGTAAACAAACCGCTCGAAAGCTGGCGTGCAGCCAAACGAGCCGGCGGCGCGCCAAAGCGCAGCGAGCCAGTGATTCGGGCTGACGTCCCGTACTCGCACTCTCAAAGTCGGCACACCGCCTTTGTTTGCTTAAGCGTAGAGTTTTTTTTTTTTTTTTTGTACACCCGGCGCCATTGGGTTAAAGGCAGCAAAAATTTCAGCCATAGATTTAAATACTAATTTTCTTGAAACTGATAATTAAAAAAAATAATAACTTCTGCCCTAGCAATACACACAAATTCCAAAACACATCAAAGCATTTCCAACCACTAGCACTCACCTGACATTCCCTGGAGCAATACCACTGGTTCCCACAGCCAGCACACACAAACTGAGCTCTTTGCTTGTGGCAACCCTGGCACTTAGGGTTGCCACCCCCCTCCTCCGAGTGGTGGCTGGATTTCTTGCTCCTGCTCTCAGACTGGAACAGATGGACAGAAGTCAGTTTTCTGGGCTTTGCTAGCAATATCCAGCATATAAACCACAAAGGAAAATACACAACTCAATTCAGAAACCATAAATTATATTCATAAAATGATACAAACTCCTAGTAAAGAGAAACAAGAGAATTACGTCTGCATGTATTCACATCATAATGTTCTACATTTATTCATTTATCACAAGTCCATCAGTAACTTGCATACAAAAATATGGATATCCAATTAAAGCAAACAAAAATTACATCTCCCCAAATACAGTCCCAAAAATAAGACCATGTCAACTACCTGAGAATGGGAGGACTTCTCTTTCACCGTCGTGGTTGAGCCTCCAGACAGGAGAGCCGAGAGGGTGAGGTACTGGGAGTTTGTTGTAGCATCACCCACCATCTTGACATTGCCACCACTAGTAACACCAGCCTGCGACCCTAAAAGGAGCTGGAAGAGAGATTCGCATTAATCCCTTGCTTCCCTAGTTTTTCTTTTTCCCTGTCTCAATCCAGCATAGTAGTTGGGATGGATTGCTGGTATGGGATATTTCTCTTGTAAAAATTTCTGGATTTATAGTGAATCTTGACTCTTTAACAGGTATCATAATAAAGCAGCATAACGAGGCTCCATATACTCTAGTAATTCATTATGTACATTTCAAAAATAACAATTCATGGGCAACCTAGTCCTACCTTAGCCAGAGCAGACGGCCCTTCTAAAGAGGGTTTGGATGTTGGTAGGGTTGCTGTAGGGGGAACTGAGGTGGGCGTCTGCTCCCTGGCTATGGGTGTGGATTCTCGGCTGCCTTCCGACTTCCTTGTACTGCTTTCACTACTTCCCACAGGGAATATAGAGATCTTGAAAGCAAAGAAAGGTCTTAAAAGTTAGAAAACTCAAAGGTACTCATGATACATAACAAAAATTGGACATTTTGGTGAAAAACTTTTAAGTTACATTAGGCCCCAACTGAAATTCATTAAATGCTATTAATCTCTCTTGTTTTTCTAGACCTAGTAGCAAATTTTCCTCCTCACCTGTGGAGATCCAGGCTGCTTCTCAATCTGAGTGAGTTCAGCAAAACGCAACAGGACATCTTTGTACGAGACGGAAGGGTCGCTCATGGCCAGCATGCCCTTCGCAGAGGCCGAGGTTCTCATCTCTGCCTCACTGCTGGAGCTGGACACACTGGGGGGACGGTCCTGCTCGCGGGAAGACCGCTTGTCACCATCGTAACGGTGCCTCCAGGCCCCTCTGGTGGCTCTTCTGTTGGAGGGGATTTTGACACTAAGTTTAAAATTAACGACTCTGTCCATGAAGCGTGAGAATGAGATCACATTTTTATCTAGGTAAAGAGGTATGAAAATAGACAAAACTTTTACAGCCTTAATCAAGTTATAACATGAAATAATTCACTTGATAAGTATGCATGACATAACAAACAATAATTATAGCTACTTTTCTGCCTGCATTTACAACAGGTAAGCAAATCCTCCTGAAAAGCAAAAAGATTTTTAAAAAGCAAAAATAAAAATCAATCACCAGGAATAACATCACTACTATTTACCTAATGGGCGGAGTATTGGGGTTTTCTTTTCTATGAGCGGCTATTAACTGTTGGACATTTATGGTGGGCCCCTGGGGTCCCTGGCCAGTGGGAGTGGTGGAGAGTGCTGCCGGAATATTGGACAGGCTGCCCTGAGGCCCCGACGGCTTGGGCAGGATGGGCTTCATGAGGGAGAGCCCCGAGGTGAGCTGCTTGCTGAGTTTGTTGTGTGCTTCGGAGGACATGGAGATTCTGGGCACCTCCCCCCCTGGCTTGTTGCTACTCGTGTGGATGTCAATCACGCTGATGTTGCCATTGCCATTATTGGAGTTGCTTCTGCTGCCCTCCTTTGTGGTCACAACCTGGGGAAGTACCTGCAAGGGGAAGAGGAATAACATGGTTTTTTTCAAGTTCTTTCTGGTTTTATAAGCCAATGAGATATACAAACAATACCTTACTAATTTAAGTCAAATCACAAATTGTCATTACCCTGACCTCTTAGTACACTGTCTAGGTGTAATCATCACCCATTCAGAAAAGCCCACACACGTCCAGTACCTGTAGTGACTGAGGCGACTGAGATCCACTGAGAAGCTGACTCATCATCATCAGGGGAAGCTGAGGACCTCCCAGGGACGAGTAGCCGCCCTGAGGCAAGAAGAGAAGGTTGCCACTTCCTTCTCCACTTCCCTCTTCGTCAGTCTTCCCTTCCTGCTCCTCCTCTTTCTCCTCTTGGCCGCTCTTCATCAGGAGGACCTGCCGTTTCCTCACCAGCCGGAGGTACAGCTCTTCTTTGCGCTTCTGTAGTCTAAGCAGGGTGTTCCACTCCTCCTCTTTCTGTTTCAGCAGGAATTCAATGGCCTGAAACAACAAACCCTACTTAATGTATCAGCCACAGCTTGGTCCTAGGCATGCTGCTGTACCTAGGGCAGGGGACATGTACTCATACTATACACTGATTAAACAAGTGAATGAGTGAAGGAGTGAATGAAAAAGTGCAGGACTGTGCTAGTGAGTGAGTGAGTAGGTGACTTTGTGAGTGAATGAGTAGATGAGTGCATGAGTGTGTGAGTTAGGAAGCAAAAGCATTTGTGCTTATCTATACTCAATTTGAATGTATTTTTACTTTAATAACAGTAATAATACTTGGTATTACTACCTCCACTACACAAAATATGAAAA